TAATTCGGCCGGATTTTCCTCTTTTAGTTTAAACTGGAAGAAATGTACACCTTCTTGAGATCACTTTTCAAGCCAGGGACTATTCATTTGTCGAATTTAGTCACGAGTGTAGATCGCGGGGATGGTGCACATTCCCCGGAGTATCAAAATCAGAACTCTGGTATTTTAGTAGACAGTCTCCCTCAGTTGCCTGTTGAAACGTCTACCCCTACGGGGCGGTTATCCTCTTCTTTTCACTCTGCCACCTCGTCTTCATCTACTGGTCTCTCTGTGACTCAACCCTTTGCATCCATAACGTGGGGGCAGAACGTCACTTCTGTCTCTCCTTCCTATATTGTCACGGAGCTGGATGCCACTTCTCTGAATGCATTTGGATATCTCGTATCTGGGCGCGAGGCTTCTACACCCAACGGCAGCTCCAACTCCAGGAAGCACTCATCCGCCAATCCTTGAAATGTGCTTTTCTGCATTTCTTGGGTATTGCATTTTGTGTGTGCCTGCACGCACTAGTTCAGTCTTTCAGCATCGCCACTGGTCGATGTATTGGGTCTGCTGAACCGTCCAGTTAATTTGATCCCCCTTGATCCTAGCGCCCCATCTGAGTGCTCATTACAGCTACTTTTGACAGTTTGTGTGGTGTTTGTGGCTCCAGTGGAAGGCAGGAAGTGTTGGTGATGCTTTTTCACATCTGCTCTTCTCTACTTCTGCTTGGGGAGTTGGCAGAACCGCCACTAATCTCTACTTTTTTCTGAATACGTCACTTTAGTGTATGAATTCTCCGCATTTACGTAAAGTCGTGTTTCTGTACTGTACTAATTTTCTATAGTGATTTATATATCTGCTTTTCATATAATTTCCCTCGTCGTGTGGCAGCTTTTTTTCTGCCAATAAACTTTTGATACTTCATTTTGTTCTGATGAGTGTCTTGGTTTCATTCTCCGTGGTTATCGATTGCATTATGGTTCGTAAGTCGGTAGGGTCGGTGATGGTGGTTCCTCCTAGTCGCACCATTTCGTTAGTTGTGTGGGAAATGTAGTTGATTAGGTACACTAAGCGGTCGTGCAAGTGCCACCTGAAGACTTCTGTGAACGAATCCGGCGTTTGTCACCGTTTAGTGTGAGAGGTTTCTTCAACCAAGCTCGATCATGAACTACTGTTGGGCGTGGTTTCTGTGGGATGGGGTGTCTGTGGGTTTATTTCGTTGATAGACGTATTCATCGGTGGAAGTAGTCTGAGTAAGTCGGCATGAAACCCACTCGACTTTATGTCGAAGGTGCGTGTAAATGTGCTGTCCTGTTGACTGATGGGCAGCACACCCTTCAAATAATTTGATCAGTTCATGAATATTATAGGTTCTGCGGGCTCGGATTACATGTGCACGTATATGTGTATATAATGCCTACGGATAGTGTACGTGGGTATTAAATGATATTTGTGTGTATATTGATGAATATCATTTAATATCCACATGTATACATAAGACTTTGTGTGTGTTGTGTAAGGCTGTTCCATTATATGTCGATTTCAGTATTGGTTATGAACGATGGTTTCAATGTGGGACTTTTACAAATGCCTTTCAGGCGGCCGACGAAATTCAGGGGTATTCCTTGTCATGACTATGTTAGGGTGACCGGTAATCGCAACATGAAAACTGCGGAGTGACCTCGGAGGGTGCTCCACCCAGTCAAGTTGGCACTCGAGTAACCGCGACTGCAGGCACTCACAGTCCCTCTCCGTGTGGCAGGCCAATGGTAATGGGGAGGCTTGCGTGGCCGTGTGACCAGGGCGAACTTTTCAGTCCCTGTGAGGAAAGCTGTCATAGCAACAAGAGTCTAATGTTTGTGTCAGGACATATTTGGTCAAGAGTATGACAAATTAGGTTATTTCGATGCCCATTCCAGTGGACAAATATGATTTTGCTAGCAAATGACTGCCCATGTTGAATAGTCAACGGTAGCAGCACTAAGTACCGCCTGATAAATGACAGTATGGGAAACTCTTTTGGTGTACTTACTGAGGACAGATCTTTCTTCCAATCAGGCCGTAACATTAGGCGTATTTTGAGTTAAAACTCAGATCCAGAGATCACCTCATGGCAACAGTGTCGTAACATTCCGAGCATTTGTAGAAAACCACTGAACGCATAATTTAATGAGCTTGGAATGGCTGCAAATTGAGACTGTCCTCGGAGTAGTGATTGACCACTTTGATTGCCTTCAATCGTGGGTTGGAAGTGTACTTTCAAGTTGGCGGTGGATATGCGGCTGGCTTTTACAACAGCAAAATCTGGCAAGCGCTCTTCCATTGGAGTTAGCTTTCTCTGAATGAAATATGGAATCATGCATGTGTTGCATTAGCGTCCATCGCTTTGAACAAACAGTCATTTCCAAGTTTACTTTTTGAACACAAGACTTTTGAGAACATGCTTTGTAATACTCCTTACAAAACCTCTAAAATCTGAATCGATGATCTAAAATGAAGGATAGCGTATGAAGGTAGTTTCGTTCTAATGAAGGAAGGGAAGGAAGCCAGTAGTTACGAACAAGTGTACGCAAAACCCTTGAGGAGTGTCTTTCCAAATTCTCTTTTGGGACTGGAAAGACTTCGGCCTTTCAACCTTTACCGCCCTGAGACACTTGAGCGCGGGTCGTTGTGTATTACCACTGTGTGTGGGGAGTAGGGAAGGGCAGAGCACACCAAGGGATAGGTGAGTGACGAAGAGGCCTTCAGCGCCCATTTGCGTGTGTAATGAAACAGAGGTAACATCCGAACACGTTTGCAGCACCTTGGGTGAGGCGCCATATAGTCGTCTTGTGGAGCGTGAGGGCATGGACTTGAGCAGACAGGGAAATTATGCGTGGTGTGCATTTGGGCTGCAGTTCGTGTAGTGCTGCATTAACTGACCTAGGGAACGTATTCAACAAATTTTCTCCATGCTGATACTTTGTGAAGAATAGGATGCGATATTTTTATTGGTGGTATTGCATCCTGTTCAATGGGACTTAGGGAATGAGCACATTCCACAATCAATGGAACTATCTTCTACTGCTCTGGGGGACATATAGCATACTGTATACCAGTGCCACTCGGCTGGAAAATAAAACCCTAATAACAAAAACTTGTGGGTAGAATGAGGAGGCAATCAAACGGTTATGACGTTTTGTGCAAGTACAAGCGGCTGGACTTATTTTTGTTCTTGACTAAAAGTCCCAGATGACGCGAGCATTGCGAAAGTTGTAGTATCATTGTCAAAGCACGAAGGAAAGCGTTTGCCGTAATTCAACCAGATTTATGCACTAAACTAGATAGAAACAAATTCTCCTCATCGTGACAATATCCAGGATTGCTTTTTGCAGCAAAAGGATAACGGGAACTTTATGAAATGTCATATCAAAAGCATGTTTCATCCTCCAGTTTTAAATGTTCTCCATGTCAACGATTAGATACCTGAGGAATGGTTGTATAAGTATGACCCCAAGGGCTCAAATGGTAATGCAATGATGGATATAAATTAAGCATTGGTAAAATGGGCTTATTGATGTCATAATCGCCAGAAAAACAGTAACAAAGAAGCAGATGTGGCCTGAGGATAGCAGTGCTCATCATTTTAAGTGAAAGGTTTGGCAGAGCATGAACCTGCCTTGTCCATCTGGAAATCGGAGGATTTCCACCCCACTTCTCAACACAGGCCATGAATACTTTCTGCGGCAATCACTGAGCAAATAGTAGAACAGAATGACGAGCACCGAAAGCAGGTCTTCTAAATAACGCCTCTAAAGTCAAGCTCACTTACTTTGAAAGGGGAACTCAACTGTGACATGGTAGGGGATGGGTCTCGCACACCAATCGAGGCGGTTGTTTGATGTCAGCTGTCGTCAAAGCAATCGTTAGCACAGGCGTCAAAGTGGTTTCCTTGCACAGTTATGCCACAAATGGTACAACTCAAGATGTAAAGTCGGGAGTTTTTGTATTGGGACCACAGGTTGAGTGTTGGGTCACTTGTACGACAGCGAGGAAGGTAGAACTCATGTCACTGCGGTTACTCCCATGAAAGTGGCGAGGTCACGGCTTCATCACATGACCGAAGTTGGAGTTAATGGGGACCACCTGTTGTTCAGTGGACCAAATGAACATGAACGCCACCCCTGGGTCAAAATCGAGTGTTTGAAATAAGGTGATGATTGCACTATCGTGGTTCCCAAGTTTGGAAAAGGTAAAGTAACCTCTGTAATTGGGAGCCCAGTCATAGAGGCAACAGATATTCCTATTCTTGAGTCTTGATGAATGCTGAAGACAAGAACATGAGTGAATGGAAAGGCTTAAAGCTGAAGACGTATTTTCCTTGTAGTTTGGGTGACGCAAACCGTTATCTCAATTCGTAAATGTATACTTATTTTCCATTGGTTACGTTGCAGCCGGCATGAAAACGCCCCTGTCTCCCTCCCCAGTAATCGACCGAGGTCGATTAGATCAACACTAGTTGACCTTAGCATTCGACTTGGGAAAATCAGTTGGCCTCATCTCGTCCGTAAGGGGCTCCATCGTGTTGGAGACACTGGTGGAAATTCAATGCAATGCAACGCTAAATGTTGGTGAAAAGGAAAATTCTGCGAAGATTATCCAAACATTTCCCTTTTGGGGATTAGATCTCATAAGACTGGAAGAATCTTGCACGTCTAAATGGACAGTGAATAGCTTCAAGTGGATAATTAGCATTAGACACAAATACATATCAAAAGTGACAATTTAAATGTTGGAAACCTAATCAAAAATTTTCACACATGGGAGCATGAGTCTGTTAATTCACCCCACAACTGAGTCTGACACTTCCCAAATCTAGTGCTTTTTACAAAATCAACTAGCTTTGTGTTCAACTTCTAGAGTCGCTGTCATTCCCCAACCAATCTGTACTAGCGTGACACACGCACACACACCCCACCATCTATCTTCCTATTGACCCAGTAGTCTTGTTGAAAAAGTCTTTCCCATGTCCGGTCGGGCTGCAAATGGTGGTGCCTCAAAGTGCGTGGAGTGAAGGGTGGATGTGATGACGGCGCAGACCGAGGGCAAGAGCTCTGACGCACACATCCGTAGACATGCAGGGCGGGGCTCATGAGATGTGGCAGTGATAGCCCCTCTGACATTCTCACCCCCTCTGTGTGTGTGGAAATTCATCAGGCCGTCACTTGGGCATGCTTACAGACCCGCTACATTTGTCGCCCATGCTGCCGTCCCATGGACGGGCAGAAGCAGAGGAGATTCAGAGCTTCTCACGTCGGACTCGTCAAATGAACGCTAGTTACTGTTAAAACGTAGCTTCACCCCATTACGTATGCTATAGGAGGTCGAATTTGTAGGTATGCATGCGGACAGACGGTGTCCTTGAGCATAAATCCATTGACAGTAATGACATGATTTAGACACTGTATGTTAGTTGCAATGAATCGGGCAGCGGATGATAAACGGGATCAATGGTCAATCAAGAGCCATATCTACATGAGAACCTTACTGCTTTACGTCGAAGAAGGAGGCTCAAGCCTGACCAGTTTTCATTCTTACAGACTGAATAAAGGATCATACCACAGCAGCAGTACACACAGTGGCCAACGCGCCCTTTTACCAATAATCGGCACCTTCTTGTCAAGGCAAAACGGACCCCGTTAATGGGGCTACCAGGCTACAGCGCTATTGTGCGAATAAAAGTGCGATGGTGCAATTTCTTGTAAACCTAGGTGGAAAACCAACGGGTATCCAGAGAAAACTACAAACACAATACGCTAATAAGTAGTGAGACAGCTAAAAGGTGTCGACGATTGAAAAGCTAGTCGTGCACCTGTCACCAACGGCCCTAGGACGTGGTGGTTCCCGGCCTCCAGTGCAGTAATAATTTCTGCGACCATTCACCTCACTCAGCTGCTTATCCTAAATGCCGATTCGGTGCACACCACCTTGTCACGAAATTGCATGAGATGAATCTTCCCATGGAAACGGTAAACATAAGTGACTGGCACATTCGCCACTTGGGAAGTTTAGCTCACGGTGGGTATCAGAGCAGCTTTCCTCCTTTGCTCAACACGGAAGAGCTGAATGCTGCACTGATTTTAAGAGAACTTTTGACAAGTTCCGGGTCCCCTGTTTAGCAATATTATATGTGACATAAAAGGGACATAGTGATTCCGTTATAAACCTAGACGAGTATTGCACCGAATCAGTGGTTCATAGTCCCCACCATCACTACCACCGATGCCGAAGTGAAGCGAGCCACCTTAGGATGGGTCGGCCATGACGACAAATCTTTCTAGAGAAGCTTCCTGTCTTGGTAAAAATGCCGAGATGAATGTGAAGGTGTGTCAGAGCATTGCATAAAAAACACGTA